CATGGATGCAGGCGAAAAGTAAGCAGAAGACAGAAGAAAATGGAGACGTGCAGTTGAAGCCCTATGTTCCACTAGGAACCCAAGGGAGCAATAATAATAATATAATATCTGTTGTTGTTACTGTTGGCCAGAAGTCTTCATCACCTCTGTTTTCTCTATGTTAACTTGGGGTCCTATCTTCGGTGCTTCTTCTTCTGTCAACTTGTTGCTTTTCACTTGCATATCTTCCAGTTTATAGGAAATCAGACATATATCATCGGCGAAGTTCAGATCCTCCAAGATTTATGTGTGGGTCCATTTTATACCTGTTTCCTCGTCACCCGGCCCTCTGTCAGTTGCAATATCCAGTCTACCGCAATCTGGAAAATCATTGTCGATAGTAGGCAGCCAGCTTGTCTTATTCCCATCTTCATTTCGAAGGGTTCCATAAGTTTCCCGTTGTGGATTACTTGGAATGCAGCTTTGTCGTACAACTGTTGCATGAGATGTATAATTGTCGGTAGCAACCCATAGTAGCGAAGTAGTTGCCAAATCACCTCTCAATCGACGCTGTCAAAGGCCTTTTCAAAGTCGATGAAGTTGAGATAGTGAGGTGACTGTTATTCCAAGCTTTGTTCAGTGATGATTCGTAGTGTGTCGACTTGATCAATACATGACTTGTTTCTCCTGATTCTGTAAATTAGTCTGTAATCAATATCGTGGAGTGGATGTAACTGTTTACAAACACCATCATATTTCATAATTACATTTAGACACTCAGAAAACTGATCTGGAATAAGAAAATTTACACATTTGTTCCTTGAGGAGTATATCTTATGCTTCTTATCTGCTATATGAGCTGCTGTATACAGCTAATGGTGTTCATTGTAGTATTAACTACTTGGTAAAATTTTTCACTAGACAAGAGTAAGGTGTTTACGAAAACTGACGCCTATTAGAATGAATTACTTGTAAACATATGTTAGTTTTTCATCTTTTGATGAAACACTTCTATCCTTCCAACCTGCATTCAGATGAGTAACTTGACATCTAAGGATTTCCATTAGCTGGTGGAACAATCGATTAAAATTTAAGCATTGTAGTAGGATAAAATTCCATATCAAATAAGTTTATCTGATGCAATACACATTGATACAGTATTATTTAGTGGATGGCGCTTTTAACAAGATTTATTGATATGGTTAAGAGCATTGAATTGGGCTCGAAAAGTCATTTAGTTACTAATATTTTATCACTGGTGTTACGTCAAATAAGCTTATCTAATATGAAATAATTGACTCTTGAAATGGAATCTTCTGTCTGTTGTGACAGTTTAAGGCGCTCCAAGACAAAAGTTTCTTTGTATGATTAGTGTTTTACGTATTATCTTTGCTGACGTTTCTGTCAGTGTAGCGACTATCAGGCTTATTGTGAATCTGTAGCACCCGTATATTAATTCTAGCTGCACGTTTATAAAACTATATCATATACGTATATTATACATGTACAGAAACTGATTATACATACACTGTTGGAACATTTACCATTGTATGATTGAACATTGCCTTTCTTTTGTTATATGTACATATGTTTTACGCGGTTATACACTTTTTCGTTTCCCTCACGATTTTTGAAGTTTGATTTCGTTAATACTACATCTTTTCAAGTCTTTACACGTACTTCTTAATACAGCGTTGTTCGTCTTTGACCATGTACTGCGTTAGCACCTCTATGAACGTGAAAACGTGAATGTACTAGATTATCATAATCAGAATAATATTTTGTACCCTATAAATAAATCTAAACACGTATAAATGTATGTGTTCATAAGTGAAGAAGGCGCTGAGCTTATTAAATCATGTTATGCATCGTATCATTCGAAATCAGTGATCAAAATTTACCTGGTTCACTTATTTTATACCGACGAATTTACATCTTCTACCATTCATAATAACTTTGGCACCATTCATGTTTAGCCAAATGAAACAATCAGTAACCAATTTGACAAAGCGTAGCAATAGGCACAGTGGAGAGTAATGTAAGAACACCCTTTTGACAAAAAATCCAACAAGTATGACCCACTCATAAAATTACGTGTACCATTAAAACTTTATTTGCAAACTGATGCATACGAAGATAATCTGTGAAATAATTCATGGAGGGAATGAAACGAATCTATTGATATTGGGCATTTCTAGCTTGATAAAAAAGTCGATGTATTCAATTACACGTTTATTTACTGATGAATCATGAAAGGCTACAAAATGTGACACATTTTCGGCTTCAAACATTCCCACTTCCACAGTTCGCCTTGAGTGTCTGTTCTCAATAGAATAAGACAGAAAATGATAGAAATAGTGCCAACAATTCGAGCCACATTATGTAGACTTTGAACAAAGTCGAATTTATTGATTTATCTCTAGAATATTTTAACCACACCATAGAATAGAATATGATCTATAAATATGATTAATTGCAAAACAAAAAAACATTTCAGGTTAATTTCATAGAGGTTTGGGTTAATCAAATGTAATTTTTATGAAAAGTTGGATGATGAATACTACATATGTGAAGTAAATTTTGTCAGTGATCGATTTTTCGCGTGACTCAGTGAGCCTCCTGATTAGACGGAATGTTCCTAAATACTTGTTCTAATCTCATCTGCTATGATGAATTAACAATGTGTATTTGAAATTAGACATCTCAGTCCCAACCGAATCCCAGAAATTTGGAGCTTCAGGTACTGAACCACTTCGATACTATTCAGGTATTTATTACTCACCTAGAACAAAATATCCACCTCGGAGTTCATGTAGTCCATAATCCAGAAGATGAATGTATTGAAGTAATAACAGAGAGGAAACGTGGTAAGACTTGCATACAAGTCTAATGGCAAGTAATAATAGTGAACGTCAATTCACAAGCAATACAGAAACAGATGCATTCAACTTTTTAAACGTCTGACTTTCAACGATTCTTCCATTATAGATAAGATTTTATTTTGATAAATCTTATCTATAATGGAATTATACTCTACCACAGTGCCCAAGTTTTATACTTATATCAATTATTTCAACGATTCTGTTATGAAATTCTTCTTTGGATCAAGTATTCAGCATCAAATCTTCGAATATCCAGAAATTTCACTGTAGGGTATAGTTAAAAAGTCTGGTAAATGAAACTTTTAATCTACAGCCTACATTCGAAGAGCACTTACTTTGGTAAAAATCAGACGTCCTTAATGAACGGTACAAGTTTATCAAGAGTAAACCAAGTGGCTAATTTAAACTGACCAAAAAACGCCACCTACAACTTAAAGGGTTGATCGGGAATAAGGCGATTATTCTGATATGCGTAGTACTAATGAAACATAAAGAGTACATTGATAAAATTTCACCTATCCTATCTAATGAGTCCAGTCCTACAAAACTAATCGATAAGAAGATTATGACAGAGGAGACCGAAAAGAAAGAAAAACTGATATTCACCTAAAATTGAAGACATAATTATGTACTCATCCTGAAATGTTTGAACCTTCGTGATAAACTGGTTAAAATATATTCCGACTGTAGGGATTGCTAAAAGTACACTAGAAGGGCAAGCCTTTTCGTCTTATTCATGAGATGACGAATTCAAGTTATCATCTCATTATCCAACGGTTAATAAACCTGCTGGAGCCAATCAGAAAGCAAGTCTGCTCTCATTTATTTCACGATTCCTTTGACTTCGTTAGTTGCCCTAATTTTATCATACTTTCAGTAGGTTTGATTTTATTATCTATGAACTTCCATTAAGTGAAGTAACATCCTACATTTGATAACATACTGATTCCAACGGGCTAAACCTTGGCACAGCTACTCATTATTTAGAAGGACTTCTGCATAAATGAGGCCTAAATGTCCACTTCGCCTTCATTAATAAAATGTGCAGACAAAACAATGGTATAGCCATGGGCCCTGTGTTTGCAGACCTCTTCTTGTCGTAACCTGAGAACAGGAATCTAATGAAAACCGTTAGTAACTTGAAGTTTTACAAGAGTTATGTCTATGATTCTTCTGTTATGTCGAACGATAAAAAGAATTCGAGGGATTTTCTGCATTTTTTCGATAGCTTTCACCGTGCAATACTTTTCAGATTAGTGAAGGAGTCTGGTTCAAAATATTTTTTCTCGTTGTTCAACTCACAAGACACTGAAAAGATTCAGCCATCGGAAACTGATCAAGAATTTATACACTTTGGTGCCTCTACATGTAATACAGGACCAGATTTGCTTGAAAAGTCACAGTCCTCAACATTTGCAATCCTTATCTTATGGAAGAGGGTCTGAGTGCTCTTAAAATGTCTCTGAGAATGGTTACCGTGAAAGCTCAATTAGAGAATTCATGAAGTCTACACCACTTATACTAGACAACATGCATTATGTTTCAAAACAAACCTCCATCTGAAATTGTAATGCAGTAGAGACTCATCATTTACTTCGTTCATCTAGGAAAGCCTGTTTAGCAGCTAAATGTCTACTTAGACCAGTGATTAGGACATGAAGGATAGGCTATCACTGTTGGCCTCGTCAGTCTGCATCTCTTAATTCACCTGCACTTGAGGAGCGTTTGAAATCGAAAAATTTCACGGGAATTTTATCCCCAAGGTTTTAAAGAGTAGTAAATCTCAAACTGACCACCCTCCCTCAAACCATAACTCCAATCTGGGACATATCATCGATTCCAGATATTAAGCAAACCAAGAATCAACTTCAGAGTCATCTAAATGAGTACACAGGAATCCTTCCAAGGACGTGGTAATCAATCCATCTCATATTACAGAAGCTGTGACGATCGATAATTTAATTTTTGTACTTTTAGTGCTAAAGAAATTGATTTAAGAATAAAACTTGTGCACTGTGGTAGAGTGTAATTCCATTATGGGTAAATTTTGTTTTGATAAAGTCTTGATATGATTATGAGCAATAAATTGTGCTCGAAACGTCATCAGTAAGCATTATTGTATAACACTGTGAGACTTTATCAAAACAAAAATTTACCCATAATGGAATTACACTCTACTACAGTGCACAAGTTTTATTCTTATATCAATGATACATATGGTCTTCCTACTAGGAAGCTTATCAACAAACTCACACAACTTAGTCAAACTAAAGCAAGATTTACAAATCATCGGATTTTTAACAGTCGATGTTTAAAAAAGCCATATAATTCCAAAATATTTACGTCTACGTACTCCAATTACTTCAAACAAAATAACATCAGCCGCCGAACATGTCAGTAAATTATGTCTAAGAGAAGAATTACATCGAGTTACTGTAAAACTAAATAATATACGAAATCAAATTGAAAAACTCAAACACAAACTCAAATATATGATCAATGACAAAGATTATATAATTGTTGTTGAAACATCCAAGAAAGCTAGAGAATCAGCATTAAGAAAATCAAAAATCACGCAAATCAAAAAATTCAACAAACTAATAGAAGAAAAGAACACAACAAATGAAACTGATATCAATGCTTCATCCTCTATCGACAGAACAAAGTGGGTGATCAACCTCTCATCAAGGGAACTAAACTCTAGCGAGATAAAAGTACTTGAAAAAGGACTAAATTTCAACGTAACAGTTAATAAACTAAAACGAGAGGACGTCATTCTTAACATAGAAGCAGCACTAAACTCAATAGATAAGACTACAGCAGAAGAGGTTCGAGCACAATGTGCATTTACCCTAAAAAATCAAAAGAAAACAAAATCAAACTTAACAGACCTTGATATGATTATGAGCAATAAATTGTGCTCGAAACGTCATCAGTGAACATTACTGTATAACACTGTGAGACTTTATCAAAACAAAAATTTACCCATAATGGAATATATATATATAGTATCCACTAGAAAAGTGGAAAACAGTTGGGTAATCAGTCACCTCAGCTGACAATGATGAGAGCTAGCAATGGACATCAACACACGGCTAACATATAGAAAAGTTTCAACATAACCACTGTTAAACAAGTTTCATTGTAACTCACAAAAGCTATTCCAGTGGAAAGAAAGATGGCAGATATTGCAGTGAATGGAAACTGAAATTAGAAAATAAAGAGTATGAAGGACAGTTTTAATGGTTGTTTACGGTGTGTTTGATATGAAAACGGTCATAGATGGATGAACTTTGCTATAAGATTGTATTCGTCATGCAATTTCTAATAATAAACGATCCATTGGGAAAACGTCAACCTTCATTTATGTGATTATATCAGGTGACAGTATCAATGATAAGAAATTGTTTTTCTCGGGTATTCTTCTAAAAGTGACACATAATTGCCGCGTGTTATCCCAGACTAGAGCAAAGAGAAGAATAAAATAATTCAAGTGTTGGTTTGTAGGGATTTGATTGATTTCAGGATTTCATCATGAGCTGACATTAGTTGACATCCCTACAAACCAACACTTGAATACCAATGAGATGCTCACTGGCGACTGGCTCTATTCAGGTAGGTGGTTACCTGGGTTCCAGTGAGAATTCGTGACCAGTAGGGTGCAGCAGGTTGGGTGTGAGGACAAATACTTGCCGAAGACATAGGCTAGCGGTCGCGCTATGTTGTGAATTGGCAGAAGTTAGAATTCATGGGCCATTGGATGGGGGGTCCCAGTGGCTTAATGTTATACGAGCTCACCTTGTAACCAGAAGGTCCTGGGTTCGAACCCTGTCGATGGGTGAGTACTGCTGAAGAGTCCCAAACTCGGCCGAAACAGCTGTCCAGTAATCCCAGCTGGTTTTCCAATGGTTTTCTAACTAATGTCAGCTCATGATGAAATCCTGAAATAAAATAATTATTTTGATGGGGAGATGATAAATTCTTCTAGATGAATAACCGGCTCCCTCTGTTTGGTTGTTCACAGACGGTAAGTCTATCGTCAGATGGATGTCAGAAGGGCATCTCAACATGTGGTGCCATCACAAAAACGTAAAATAACAAATAGCTCTTTCTCTCGTCCAGTAACTTCCTATTGAGAAGTGTAGGGCTCTATAGTAGTTGGTATACACTGCAACCGAGATGAACATTGAGTTGATTATCAAACTGGAATAGGCCATTGATGTAATTTCTATTCATTTGTTATGTGGTCAGCTTTATCATATCGCTTTTCACAACGAGACTTGCAACTAAATAATAATTATCCTCTTCCAGGATATTTAGATAGTTTCCATTTCACAGTTACATACAATTATGAAAAGTGAGTGTGGAATCAATACTTCAAATGACACACTTACATCTTTTGATCGATCTAAAATGTAGAACATAATTCCAATGACAATGAGTGCCACACTCAGTATGTAGAAGAGGAAATATCCTTCATCTGTTAGGCGTTTTGATTTGAGTCCGATAAACAATGGTAAGACTCCTATAAGAGCTGTTAAAAACAACATAATTAAGTTGTATTTCCATTGTATTTGAAGACAGTATACAACGGCGACTATAATCCATAGTACGATCTAGAAAAGGAAATCAGGAAGACATGAATTCTTTGAAAAACAATATATAGAAAACATTAAAAACATTGAATGATTGTGATTAATGTGTTCAGCTTAAAAACATTGAATGATTTTGAGTGATATGTTCGTATGAAAACGATTACAGTTATTCATGTCATGCTATTTCATCACTAAAACATTCTTGAGATCTATAGTTCATCTACCAATCAATGAATAGGAGTGGTTGTCAACTAAATTGCATTGAGGCCAGTGAGCAATGACTCATATGAGTTTATGGTCATAACTGTCTATATTTGTGTCTGTTCTAAATTCCCAGGTGATATCTCTATGTTTTAATTATCCTATAGGTTTGTGTATTTTCATCAGTGATGCAGCGAGATTTCCACATTTTAGTAATTTTTTTAAGAGCATCAGATAAGTAGATTCTTCAATTGTTTTGATTGCAGTTTTTATTTACATGCTATGAACGTACAGTTCATAGTCCTTTTAAGCCAGTGTTCACTTTTAACTACAAAGACGATTTGACTTCACTGTCGTCAGTTTCATCTTTTTGCCTGATAATTTTTCAGCGTTGACCCCTAAGCCCATTTATTTCATCTTCTGCCAAGTCACTTACACAGGACAATGGCAGAAGGGCCCGACGATTATTATTATTTCCTTTAACTCCTAGGGGAACATAGGGCTTCAGCCACACATCTCCATTGCGTTCGGTTCTCCACCAACATTTTCACCTGGCTCCACATCTGTCCACATATTTTCATCACCTTTTCACATCAACTCCTTTATGTTATCCCTCCCTCCCACTGACGAAAAACTCGCCGCTTCCCATTCGGGTTCCACTCGAACGATGGCCTAACCTGTGATGTCACTTGATGGTTTGTTTTCTCAGAGTATGACCAATCCACCTCAATCTCCTCCTGCGTACTTGTTGAACTATTGGTTCCTGCTGGGTTGGTTTTCCCACTGCCAGAGATCCCTGTATTGCTGATCTTTTCTGGCCAGCCATGTGACCATGAGCGAAGTATTGAACGAAGACAGTTGTTGATGAAGGTGTGTAGTTTATTCGAAGTGGCCTTCGTGACGCTGCGAGGCACCAATTCTCTGATCCGTATATTAAGTAGCACTGACTTCCCATTGGAATGAAAATCCGGATCTTATTTTTCATGCTGAGTGTTGTTGACCTCCCCCATACAGAGACTTGACAGTGATGAAAGCTTGCTTTGCTTTGCCTATCCCCTCTTTGATATCCTCATCAGTTCCTCATGCCTGTAGTTGATACAATGAAACTAAGGTTCAGACGATAGTCTTAGGAGCTGTACAAATTCTCAAAGTGCACCAAGCATGATTTATTCCAGTATTTCGGAAGATGCATTACTTGATGTGGTGTTAAACTTTAGTCTACCACTTCAAATTAACATATGTTCTATGAGAAATAAGGATTATTCATTAAATTCAGAACTTACCGCCACTGATATTATGATGAGATTAAAAGGATAGACTGCTCGCAACTTTCGAATAAATATCAAGCCTATGTGTAAGAGAGTACCAATGCAGCTGAAATAGACAATCAAGAGGTAATATCAGTTTATTCGCGACCAAGAACAATAAATCAGTTTGTCTTGAAACCACTAACCTTGACATAATTCACTATTATTGGGCTTTCAAACAATCGGTTAATTCAAATCGTCAGTGTGACTTAGTTCAAACTATGACAGTTACCAAAATGTCAGTAAGAAAACTTAACAATAAAAAATAACCAGACAATCTGTGAATTTGTGTCTCAGATATAATGAAATTCTCAGTCATGTTTAATATGCAATATTCTACAAACACACTGGATGGAACAGGAATCTTCTCAATGAGTAATAAATTACATGTGCAGATATCTCATTGGAAACACAAATTCAAAGAATTCATCATAGTACTTTGAAAAGACAGAACAGTTACTCAATATCAGATAAAAGGTTGAATCAATAAGTCTGTGAAGTCGAGTTAAATCTATGGAATGTAAATTTTCTGAGATTCTCTTATAATTAATCCAATTAATCAGATTTGAATGTGAAGATTGCGATGTTAGCCCAGTGTGATGTCATCTTCACTAATTCAAGACTCATCGATTTTATACTATTTCATATAACGTTTACCTTCCAGCTTTCCCCTTATCTCTTATAAATTGTTTACCTTAATATAAAATCAAAGACTCACCCACACACAATCGCTGTAATCCAGAGTGCTTTTGGCAGCTCTTTTGTATCTTTGCTGTTGTTGAAAGGAAAGTTGATGGAAGAAATTTTTATCTTACTCAGGGTTCATCAAATCAGCGGATTTGAACCATGTCATTAGATTACAATTTTTGACTGCTTTGTAAGTCTGAAAATGAACGAATGAATGAATATATTCGACTTTTTCATGACATCAGGAACGTCTACAGATGAAATACATGATACGAAAACAATTTATGCAACCCGTAGCGTCTTGCGCCAGTCTTGAAATTAAGCTTCCAGTGAGAAATACAAATATTCAAGTAATGATCATGTGGCCAACATCTCCTACTAGTTTCGATTCATTATTCATCTGACTGTAATTCATGCCTCAGTTCACAGTTAGCATAATGTTAATGCAGATACACAATTTTATAAAATCCGCTGATATTCCCTCTCAGTATAATATTATGACAATGTAAGCATACGGTAAGCTCATAAACTCACAGTCTTCTGTTTCAATATTTTATTGATGTTTTCACAATTGATGTATTTATGTGTTTGTTAACAGACCACTTCACTTAACTGACTTTCAATTCTGTTGAAAATCTCGTGAATGATCTTTGCTATATGTGCGTTTTCACTAAGAAATCTTATTGTAAGTCAATCAGTGCTCGTATCGATCATCGAACCATTATTCTGTTGTAAGTAAAAAAGCACAAAGTCCAATTTAATATGCTTAGAAAATCACACGATTCTCATAAGATGTTTCGTATTCCTTAGGCATACTATCACATCTATTTATGTGAAACTTTTATCACAAGAGGGTATAATAGCAAAAGTGGACAGTTGTTATTTGCAAAGCTAACAGCACTAATCCAATCCATCAAACTTTTGATGATTCCACAGAATTTGTGTTCAGCTACTGTACAATACCTTCATATGATTTATAGTTTATTACTCATTCCACGGATCCAAACTTATGTGGTTTCACTCTCGGTATTAATAAACTGCATACTTAAGTGGAATTTGTAAAGGTTATCAGTCATACGAGTGATTATAATATTTAATTGGAATTGTAAATCGTAATGGCTGTATACAAGTCGGCAATATATTGTGTTTCAGAAAATTCCACTTGAACTATCTTATTACAATGTGAATACTCATTTGGATGTTTCAAACAACTTTGTAAATATCATGCGTCCACCTCCGAAAAGGTGTCTTAAAAGTGAAGCACTCTATTTTATTTTTCTAATATTTGCATATCATATATTGTATTGATCCTTTCTATAAAGCTTAGTTCCTGTTTTTTGTGCCTGTACGTATCCCAAGGAAAATTTTTTTCAGCTATAAAGGAGGACGGAATGATCAGTTTCCTGCATTCACACCACTACGACGCGGTTTCGGTCTTTACCACGTGAAAAGGACCAAAACCAGAAATTCCTTTTATGCACGTACAGTGAATAGAAAAGGACAGTAATGCACATTTGAAAAATTCAATAGCTGAAACAGTCAATCAACACACTGTCTACACGTCAAATGACGTCCCGCATGTTTAGAAGGAACTCTGTATGATCATTCTTCTACAGCTATTCCTTATGCACTAATTTATATAACCATAATTTTGTTGAAGCTCTTTTAATGACTTGAACATATATTCACAACCATAGATGGACTTAGTAGCCCACTGACCATGACTAAAATTGTTTAAGCATTTACTGCCTGTCCATTAGTCAGTCAAATAACCGGTCAGTTTTCATCATTTTGAGGCGCGCATACTACTCAGCCTATATTGCTATCTGATTCGTATCCATGATATTACAACTCCTAATAATAATAATAATAATAACAATAGCCTTTATTGTCAGTGTACTGTGCGCGAAGGAGGTCGTTTACAAGTATCAGCAATATTGCATGGAATAATGAGATATTAATCATACATTCGCAACTAACATAGGCAAATATTTGGTATGCTTTCCGCATCCATATACACAGTGAAGTAATATTTGAACAAAGCAATAAAAACAGATTTCGCAGAATGATACGGTATTATCGTTTATTTCATTGGCTTCATACACTGAGGAATTGAAGAAATAGAGACGAAAACATTGTTTTCACCTTCTATCATGTTACTGACAAATATCGGTGACAGAGTAGTAGGCTATTTCTTAATGAATTATTTACAAATATCACACCGACATGGGATCTCTTACTTTCAAATTCGTACACTCGAAATCCATATCGGCCAGATGGCGGTTTCTGAGAAATGGAATTTCGAAATTAAGAAGGAAAACGGCAACTGTCAATTTTTAATTCGGAACCCATGGTAGGATAATTTTTGGAAACACAGGTTCATATAGTGATACATAAGAACACTGCAATTCAATCTACTTTTGCAAACGAAACAATCGAACAGCAAAGTTACTAGAACAGAAACATTTCATTAATCCATAACTTTCTGGTAATGTCATCAAAATGATATAAATTCGGGACCTCAGTCGTAATCTCAGAGTAGTTATTAAGCCCATGTTCATAACGAAAGCGATAATGCTGAGATGAATAATTAAATTGTAATATCACTGCATTTGTCAACATTGACCGCAAATCAGCTTGTGTTCAGACTGCTACACTTGTCACCATTCTTTTTTCATACGCCTTTCAGCAATCACTGAACTGACATGGCCCATTTGACAGACGACAATTCTTGACATTTCTGCATATGTCATCGCCGTAAGTTGCTGAAAAATAAACTTTAAACAGGAAAGCAACAACAAGTGGACATCATCAGCACCTTGGATTTCTACTCTAGTAGCAAGCAACACATGGTTCAAGTGAACCTGGGATTCCACAGAAAATTTGATACTTGAATGCATGTAATAGGGACCATTCTACGAATTAAACGATGAGGAAAATCTTTTCTTTACCGAAATCAATTACATTAACAGATAAAAGTTATTATAGGGAAGAATTCCGTATACTTTCACCCACACTTTGAAGACCCAAAAATGTTCCACCAAAATTATATCATATGCAGTCGCTGAATATCAGAAGGATGGATTAGGTAGATAATGTTTACAACTAAATAAAATGTGAATGAATCCGCAATCTATGAAATATTACACTCAGTGTGCTTGTCATTTCAGTGAAGTTGAATTCGGTCACACAATGTTATGACATTAAACAGTCAGCTCCAAAATTTTGAGATTCGCTAAATTCTTTATGATAAAATTCCTACCTCACACCTTATCTGTTGGAATTGTGCTGTTTAACTTTTAAAAAATCACCATGAAATTCATGTGCAAGTAGTCACTCACATACAATCATCAGAATTGTGATAAACAATGTCACCTCGCTTATTCTACTACTGCTATTGGTGAAAGACAAATGGATGTAATGAAACATTATTTTACATTTCAGCTTTCGTCAGATGAGCTACTATCAAGAGCATCACACGCTAAAAATGCTCATCTCAGTTTTTTAGTCTGAAAATGACTGACATAATTATTTATGATTACACATCACAAAGAATACCTACACGCTCAGCACTATAGAATAAAAATAAATTTCAGATTTTTACTGATTATCGTCATAAGCTATCGAAACCTTTGGTTCTAATTAGAACCTTAGCGAATAATCACGGTTATCATCTGAATCTTCCGCACTCAGCATAAGGAACAAGATTCGAATCTTCAACACCCTTTTGAAGTTGGTTCTTCTATACGGGTCAAAAAACTGAACAGCGTGTCACGGAAAAGATTCCTACCAGGCCACTGCAGACTTTAATCAATAAGTGCCTTTGCTCCACACTGAAGGTCAAATGATCGCTTGCTGAGAAAGAATAAGCAACAAGAACTTCTGACTGGGAACAAACCAACCGGCAAGAGCCCATTACTCAACAAATATGTAGGAGAAAGTGGAGATGGATTAATTAGGCATACATTGAGAAGGCCACTGAGTGACATATCGCGCAATTCAGGCCACAGCTCGAGTGGAATCCAAATAGGAAGCGACCAGTGGGTCTTCGGTGGTAGGGTTGTAACAACAGAAGACAAGGGCTGGCAACAGATCGTTTTATTATGAAAATCAACACGTATTTATACATATTTCACATACATTATTATAGACAAGCGCAGTCATCTGATTGGTTGTTTATCAGAAGTTAGGCAGACAAACGTAGGCTTCTGATTGGTTGTTTCGGGATTCCTCGACAAATAGAGTTCTCTATCTGCGAATCATATTTTGCCACGTTAACTTTGCTGTGATTGGTTGTTGAATCAGCCTTGCTCATATTTTCTCACGGCCTGCTCTCACCACAGGGTGACATGGAGGAAATCGTGTGAGGAGGAGATGAGAGAGTTTGATCAATAGTGGACTCAGCTGAAGAGGACGGCAGAAAGTAGAACAAAGTGAAGATGTGTTGTTGAAGCCGTATGTTCCACTAGGAAGTCAAAGGAATAATAATATCATAATATGGTAATGATGATCATATTGTGAAATAATTCACTTAAAATCTCAGAAGCTATGTACGATATTTGTATACAACAGTCACCTATATTGGTTCGTGCATGAGACAAGTTCCTAAAATCACAGTCTCCTATTCCAATTTATCAATTTGGTATTCATTTATGTGACACCTATATAATTTTAAGGAAAAGATTTCAATAAACTCTCTGATAACATTACATGAAAAACCATATAACTACCTTTGTTCATGTACAGTCTTGCTGCACAATATATCAATCCAAATAGACCAGTTTTCGTGTAAACATAATTTCAGTGTTCGGTATAATAAAGTCTCACATGTTAATGAAGCCTGTGTAAGTGTATAAGAGAATTATAACAGCGTGAAAATATCATATTTTTCGGTCAACATGATCCTTGCTACTTTTGATAATAACCATACTCAAATGAAGTATCACTCTACATATGCATTAGTAACAACCTGCCCCCCTGCAGTCCATTCTCGCAAGAAGTTTGAGTGTGAAAGTATAAAGAAATCAGATTTCTTTCTTTTGCGTAGATTTTCATTTTCAAAACATGATTCTCTTGTCCATCTGGTCAGATAGGATAAAAAGGGATGTTTCACAAAAAAAACATCATTCCTAACATTCACCCTTTTAAATTTCCTGGGTGAAAGTGACAATTTCATTGGAATGAATGCACTGGAGCTACGTCAACATTCAGAGATGGATTTTCAACTCCATGCTATTGACCATCTCATGATATCAATGAAGAGCATTATCTTTTCTTAATCAGTTCCAATTACTTAAAAAGGAATTGGTCGCTTTAGTGACAGCTAAAATATTTTGCCAGCATATATAATACTTCGTCAGTAAGGTAGATGTAAACGACACTTCGAAGTATGTTTCGGGAATGCCAGGCACAGTGATAAAATTATTTTGGGAGACTCCAAGGTTGAATATTTCTGCAACTGATAGGTAGTAAGATGTGTGATTGCTATTAAAATATAATAAACCAGGTGATAACAAATATTGATTACAAATGTCGAATATCTCTGAATCTTTAATGCACTCAATGCACAGAGAATGGCAAGGTGAGTTTATCCTGCAGAGATGACTGGTTGAAATGATTTCAGTCAGATTTGTAAAAAATGTGAGTTGTGTGCGTGATTTGTCTCTCATTATAACTGTCTTATTTCCTAAAGGATGTCCAAAGTGGCTACATCAATTCGAATGCACTACACGACCTCATTCGCCCTTTCGGGACCAGGTGAACTTTCTTATCATAATTTTGTTTCATTTCATTGTTTTAGTTTATTATTAGTATTATCATCATTATTACTATCAGTATCATTGATTATATGTACCATTGAGATTTTGATAAAGATTTCTTATAAGCACTTTACTGCATTCCCATTAGACTTTGAGCGTTTTATGTATTGACAGTGATTAGTCATATTTTCACTTATAACGCAATCACACTTCTTATCCTTTTTATCCTAATGTCCAGTTAATCTTCCGCTTCTGGATTAAATCTCATGTTGTGTGAATATCTAGAACAGTCCTTGCCATGAAGGACTTGGATTAGTTAGTTTGTCTACGACAATTTGGCTATTCATCTTTTGTTCTTCCATAGGCAAAATATAAAATCTTCCTTTATTCACTAAGATGTTTATTGCTGTCAGTTGCCATTCACTATCAACGTTAACAAGGAAGTTAACAGTAGATTACCTTCTTGAAACAAGTGTAAGTACTTGACAGATGATATATATTAGGGTTTCATTGAAACTGGTGTTATGGTTTTTTGATGAAAATATTTTATTTAGGAAAACTGGAAAGTGAATAGTTGGAGACCGAGAATTCAAAAAGGCGAATGGATTTATATGGAGTTGCACAACCTACTTAAACTTTGTCAGTAGTCAATAAAACAATCCGATAAGTAGTTTCTCTCATGAATGCACGATAGTTTATTCATTCTAAAACATGTAGATACTTAAACAATAATATTAGTGAAGTTAGACAGTTTTAACCATGAGGAAAGTCTCAGTAGCGAAAAATTTAGGGAATGTTAAGAGACTTTAATTTGTGGGTGGTGACTACCAGTGGAATCAAGGATGCGCATTTCGTCCTGTTTGGGACTCGTCAGATGGATACGCCTGCATTTCCCAGTGATTGATGATGTTCCCACTGAGAACTTTGGTCCAATCAATCGACGGGAAAATCTGAAATTCAGTTAAATGTTAAGAGAGACCACTGAGTCACTATTCACCTCTATACTTGCGTCAATTACGATGTACTACGAGTGGCACTGAATCGTTTCATTATCAAAGACATTTTCAGATATAGTATAACTCAAGCTGCAAAAGCTTCTAATTAATATACAGTCATGTAGACACAAGACAATATCAGTTTTCCAATTAATACCGCTGACTGGTTGTCATATATTGCTTCATATTTATCACAGATCACACAGATTTGTGGAATATAGTTAACCGCACGCAAACATGCTGATTTATTTGATACTGTGCCACATTCTCTTTGAGGAGGAAACTGACCTGCGGTTCTCCAGATGTCAAAATTTTTACGAAGTGTGCAGCAGTCTCATCTATGGAGTCAGAATTCATTTTATAATACTATGCTCAATGATCAAATCCACTTTTGAACGGTGTGTCAAATTAGTGCTTCTCCATCATCACTGAACACTCTCATAGGCAATTATACGTTCGTGGATATCCACGAACATAAGCTAGCCGTCAAAAGACATGACATCCACTCCCTCATATCACTACATACAGACAACCACGGACATCAATTCGACTGGGACAAAGTTAAAATATTAGACAAAAGAAACAACAAGAATGCTAGAGAATTTTTAGAAGCTTGGCATTCCAGTGAATCATCAATCAATAGACAAATCGAGAGAGATAAAATTTATCAACCGATAAGAAAAAAACTTCACACGCAAAGGGTCAAAGTTCAAGTCAAAGAAACAATCAGTTCCAATATAAGTAACCTAGAAGGTGTGAAAACACACAAAAACAAACAATCGCGCCTAAGGTCACCAGGAGAGATGATTAATAAACTCGTGGAGAAATCTAAAAGCTCACTTCATCGGATTGAAGTATGCGCTGAAGATGTTACCCAGTAGGGTTATGAAAGCTTCGCAAATTAACCATCCAGCTGAGAGATCACAACCACATCAAAATCATCCACCTGAGCTACAAATCTTCACTATTATATCTGATTATACGTTGGTATAAAACGACGTATGGTCATTATAATTAGACGACGTTCAGTCACAATTCATAGCTGGGCAACACATCATCTTGTTATGATCGTGTCACTATACCAGTTTAGACCTATACCGTATCCTGCTCATACTGATGACAGCTTTATGTTATGTCATCAACAAATCACTCGTGTTATGTTATTTTTTGAAAATAATGACTCACAAACATTCTAGATTCTCAAAATATCCACAATGGAGCGCTTACGAATACAATCAATCTTGGAGCACAAAATAAACTCTATGCAAATTTCAAGCAATTGAATACGTGTCTTCAATGTCATTTTTACAAATGTGCATTCACACATTTAAGATAAGAAGTAAATATTCACACGAAGCAGATATGAGGCGATAACAGTTGCAACTAGTATTCATGAAGTTATACAGACAGACATTTGCGTCAGCTTGCCCCGAGGTAAGGGTAACTGACATTAATATCTAAATCATTTTTGCTCTTCCACTGACTGGCACTTTGAACTCAACTCAAATCTATCGTGATATGAAATCGAACGCTCTCAAAAAGTCAAAAAATATGACACTCACAAACAACAGTCCCCTACAGTGATGAAGACTTGACGCAAGCTCAGAAACCTACAATCTCCCACTTCAATATTTTCTTGACATACTCTAAATTTCAACAGATTACTTTATTTAACTGGTATTTAACACTCTATGAAATGCTTGGGAATAAATAACCTTTGTTTATTCAGACCATGTTCGAAATATACTTTTGTAAAGGAATCAGTATTTATGCGAATAGTGTAATAATGTTTTGAACAATAAATTCTCGAAAATTTGTGAGTGATGTATGTGAGAAATACAAAAACGTACAGTGGTTGAATCGATTTATGGTTCACTGTTCATCAAGACACTCAAATTGGAATTTGAATCAAGTAATCAATATCTGTTACGAAAATTAAAAGTGTGCAGTGGTGAAAAAAGTCTGATATCACGTCAAGCGATTGTAACTCGGCTACTTATGTATTACGATGGAATCTTACTTATTGCGCAACATAGAGGTCAGCAAGACTGTCGGTGGCACAGTGGTAGAACTCTCGCCTACCATGCATATGGTCCGAGGGTCGATCACCTGCCGACGCACACCTGACATCTATTGTTGGCCTGCAAAATTTGACCTACCTATATCACATGCTGAAAATTCCATACCTGTACCAAACATACGGTGTGGAATCAAGCTGTAATCCAAAAAAAGATCAATTCGTCTTAATAGTTGGTTTCACCCCTTAAAGGCAATTCAGCCTCTAATCTTCTCACTGTGACTTATATGATAAACGTTATGCTCCTTTC